AGGACAGTTTTCATAGAAGATGTTAACAATGTTGCAGATCTATTACAACTGCCTTGCAAGGGTGTCCCTAATACCGATCTCTTCCCACTGCTGCCCAATCACTGCAACACTGACACAGTAAGCTTTCAAAAAATCAAGTCTGATCTTAAGGCTCCTTTAAATTCATCTGGCTCTCCACTACCTACGTGATGAAATTCAAAGTTCTTCACAGTATGGCCCTACCTCCTTTACTCCCTCCTCACCTTACCCCCTACTCAGTGCACACTCTACTTTTCCACAACTCCTCAAATGTCTATTTTAGGAGTCCCTATACAATGTGCCTCCAAAACCTTTCCTAGGAGTCCATGGACCTCAAATTACAGATCCCTTCCATAAACATAGACTGTAACACTCATCAACATATGGTAGAGAACCTGAAAATGGCTTTTTTTAAATTATCTTGAACTGAAAACATTTTTAGGTTAGAAAGCTGCCTTAAATTTGGGAGGGAGGTCTAGTAAAATAAAGCATCTTTAGATATAAAAGTATTCCTTTAGCCACAATTTTAGAAAATAGAGTAGATCAAATATAAGTCTATTCATAGAAGGACATTTTACCTATGAATTTAAATTTGTAAAGGATTAAGAGTAATTAAATTTTCAACATTTTTTTTCCCATGCTGGGCATGGAGCCTAATTTCGGGCTTGAACTCATGACCCTGAGATCAAGACCTGAGCTGAGATCAAGAGTCGGACATTTAACCGACTGAAGCACCAACGTGCCCCTAAATATTTTTTAATATCTTTAAAATATCTCTCTGTTCACTTACTTAGATTTGAGAGGATTGATCAAATGAGTAATTGGAAGAAGGATTTACTGCTCACAACCAGAATAAGGCTGATGCATTCTGAGTCAGTTGCTGGGAAACAGAAAGCTAGACTCCACAGGGTTCTCAGGCATCCCATACATTTCTGATGAAGCCTAACATGGGCTATATGGCCCAGATACTTCCTCTTCATTTCTGCAGGTGCTGGGACTACCTTTAGGTCTTTACTCCAACATCACCTTTTAGGAGAGGCCTCAGGCAACTTATATAAAATTGCAATTTTTCTCCAACTTCTGGTACTTCCTATTGCTCTTTGCTGCTTTATTATTTTTCTCCTTAGCTCTTATCACAATAAAAAACATTATATATTTTACTTCTTTATTCCTCTGTCTTTCCTTCTAGAATATAAACTCCAAGTGAGCAGGGATTTTGGTTTTTGTTCACTGCTGTATCTCTGGTGTCTACCACATAGTAGGCATTCAATAAATATGATGAGCGAAAACCTATTCACTCTTCAAGAGTTCAATTCAGGAGCCTGAACCTCCTCAATGGTGCTTTTTCCTGATTTTTCCACTCACCTCCTGTCTGCTCCTATAGCACTCTGTCCTCGATCAAAGTAACATCATTACCGATCTGACATTGAAGCTCACATCTTCCTTTTGGGATTTCTTAATTTCAGTGTTTAGAGATGATAAGTATTTTGATATATTAAAATTTTGCACATGCATCCTAAAACTCAACCATACACATATAGGACAGATTTCACTGAAAGCAGAAAGTGTGAAAAAGACAGGATTTTAGTGAACTATTAATCAGTTCAATGATTTAATAGTGAGCTGAGGTTCACAAAGAACTAACCAATAAAATAAATCACCCAGTTTAGTTTTAGACTGCCTAACAATGAATCAAGTTCCTCCATGTTGACCTGGTCAAATCACCAACGGAATTTTGTGATTAGTTTGGGCTGCCACATTCAAGAGTATTCTGCAGCATATTCAAGAGAGAGGAGACTGGAAGTTATACTGTTTGAAAGAACTGGGAATTGGGAAAGGGAACAGTTAGAGACATAATAGATGCCTTCAATATCTGATGTGTCATCAGGTTGGTGAGAAACTGTTTCTTCTGTGGGGTCTTAAGAGTTGGAAATTTTTTTGGCCTAATAAAGGGAGAACTTTCTAGCCTACTGAGATGACCCGGGATGGTCAAGTCCTTGAAGGTTCTGCTGCAGGCTGGGTTTGGTAGGGAAGTTATGAAGTAGGTAAGAGCTTAGTCACAGCCACACTGTCACCCTCTTGGCTGCGTGGGTGGCTCCTGGTGAACGTTTTGCTCTTCCCAGCCTCCATTTACATGCTACCTGTTGCCACACTGCATTTTCACAGCATTTTAGCTCGTGTTTTGTTTAAAGTGTCTTTTTTTTTATTTTTGTTTTTTTTAAGAGAGAGAAAGAGTGCGTGTGCCTGTGTGCACGCATGGGCGGGGAGGGGCAGAGGGAAAAGGAGACAATCTTAAGCAGGTTCCACGACCAGTGCAGAGCCCCCCATGTGCGCTCCATCTCACAACCCTGAGATCACGACCTGAGAGGAAATCAAGAGTCAGATGCTTAACCAATTGAGCTACCCAGGAGCCCCTGTGATTTGTTTTATGCTCTAAAAAAATCCTTTGTTACTTTAGTATTCCAATCATTTATTTGATTTTCACACTGCTAGCAGTTGCAGGAAACTTGTAAATACTGGTTTGGCATAGACAGAGACGAGTTTGTATTGTCCACCCTCTTCACTTCCTTTCATTCTGGATCATAGTCAGACCCTTCTAATGTCTTGGACACATTCTCATGGCAGATGAATTAAAGTGGCCTATATAGAACACAGAGCCAAATACAATGCCGGGAAAACAGGATTCCAACATACCAGATGAAGAGACTGATGGTTAAATCTGGTGCTGCAGAGAGCTTTTCCCCAAATCCACGCCATCCTGGCAGAAAAGACTGCAGGGACTCTACAAGAGGGAGGCCCATTTGAAGGCCTACTCTCAAATACATATGGCCAACAATAAAGGCTCACTAAATGTCTATAGAAAGTACGAACGTGTCCAGCAAGTTTGTGCCTGTTTTATAGGACTCTGCTGGCCCTGCCTAAGACACAGCACAAATACGTGAAGTGCGCAGCAGGTGTCAAGAGTCAAGTGAACAGAAGTTTATTTCTTGCTCTGCCATTAACTAAACAAATGCTTTAGAGGAGGACAGTATAATTAAAATTTATTCTCTCTTCCCTTCCCCCTCTCCCAATCTTTTGCCCCCAGCATACAGAACAGAGTATCTGTGACTACTCATCATGAAGAAACTCTCAGCACCATTATTATCAGCCATTTAGGGCTGTGGGTAGCTGTCAAACACCTGGAGTTTCTTGGATTCTTTTATTCTGCCCCACCATTTAAACCTGATATCCTTTTGCTACTGTTTACTTAGGATGTCTATACCCTGTTTGGTTCTCTTTTTCTGGCACAAAGTAGGTGCTTAATAAACACTTGTTATTGAATAAGCCCCAATTACTTACTTAGTTCAAGTTACCATTATCTCTGGCCTAGATTCCGGCAGACCTCTTCAGTGGTCTTTCTTGCCTCTAGTCTTGACCTTTCTCGTCAGTTCTCCACAATGGCAGCAAGAAGTATCTTCTTAAGATGCTAGTCTGATCATTTCATTTCCATGCTTAAAACTCCTCTGTAGGTCTAAGGATAAAGTCCTTACTTACCATAGCAACCAAAGCCCTCCTTGATACCTTCTCTCTTAGTCCTCCCGACATTTTCACCATCCAGTCAGATATCCCTCCCCAGTTTATATTCCCTTCTCCAGGGTTTGCCAACACTCTGGATTGGGGTAAAGCCCTTCTGGTGGGTTTCCACGGCCCTCTATTCCTTGTTCCTTTAATGGTGATCATTAGACTGTAAACTCCCTGAGCTGCAAAGCCAATCATGTTAATTTCAGCACAGTGTCTGGCCAACAATAAAGGCTCACTAAATGTCTACAGAAAGTACGAACGTGTCCAGCAAGTTTGTGCCTGTTTTATAGGACTCTGCTGGCCCTGCCTAAGACACAGCACAAATACATGAAGTGCGCAGCAGGTGTCAAGAGTCAAGTGAACAGAAGTTTATTTCTTGCTCTGCCATTAACTAAACAAATGCTTTAGAGGAGGACAGTATAATTAAAATTTTAAAAGTCCCCCAAACTAGGACAAAGAATAATTTATATTTTGCATTATTTTGTTAATAATTTATCATTTTTTATAACATACTGTTATTATTCATAATTTGACCAAGATCTTACTTATAAAAAATATGAAAATGACAATTTATGTACTTCCACATTATTTTCACTTTAAAAACATAAAAAGCTACTTATGCAGCTTATCATGGAATATAGGGAAGTATTCAATATCTGAAAGGTCTATATTCAAGTGCCCTGTAAGCTACTTACTAGCTGTATGATTTGGAAGAGGTTCCCTAGATGGCTGAATGTATCTCCCATTGTACCTGGCACATAGTAGGTACTGAATTGTTCCCCTCACTTGTTGTTTTAAAGAAATCTGAGAATATAGAGGTTCATTAAGACACAATGTTTCCTTTTGCTTTTGAAACAAAAGGGAGACAATTTCTTGACTCAGTTTCACTACGATAAAACAGCTATTTTTTTAAAAAAGATTTATTTATTTGCGAGAGAGAGTACGTGTGTGGGGGGGCGGCAGGGCAGAGGGAGAGGGAGAGAGAAAATCTTAAGCAGGCTCCACACCCAGCACGGAGCCTGATGCCAGGCTCCATCTCATGACCGTGGGATCATGACCTGAGTGGAAATCAAGTTGGACACTTAACTGACTAAGCTACCCAGGTGCCCCCAAACAGCTATCTTTTTTAGAAATAGATAATTCTTTAGTTATAATAATTAACATTACTTTTAAAGAAATGTAATTTTATATCACTGATATGCAGACCTTTTCTCTTTGGCATCTTTTAAAGAAAATAAACTTATATATTTTAAAATATTAAACACATAAAAAACAAACCAGCAACTATAATGCCCCAATGAATCCTGAAAATGTACTACTTGGGAGAATATCAGATAATTGATCCTTTGTTTTACAGCTCATGATAATAATCAGAAAATATACATTTTGAAATGAAAGTCAAAAAAAAGAATAATTACATATAATACATATTACAGATATTTTATTGGTACATAAGCAAAGCAGTATTAAAAAGCATATTTATGTGTCCACAGTAGTGAACATGGCAATTTTCTGTTTAAAGCTGCAGCAACTCAAATCCTCCTTGGGTCAATAAAGACAGACTGGAAATATATTTAGGGCTTATCACCATGTCTGGCTGTAAACCTATTTTTTAAATCTTTCCCTCCCCCCATATATATATGTATATATTTTATTGCCTTTCTATTTCTGCTGGTTTAATATAATTAGTATACTAAATAGTTATCTGCATTTATTTGGTTTCTAAAAATATATAAAATGCATTGGAATAGAGCTCCTGCAGCTTTCAAGCAGTCAGTGTCCTGGCATCGAAAGCTTATTCTGGAAATGTAAAGCAGCAATTCTGAATAAATAGTGATTGTTTTCTCTTCTCCACACAGCTGATGGCCTTCAGCCAAAACCTAAAAACACTGTAGCAAATAGTATAAACATGCAAAAAATGGACATAATATAAAAGTAATACTTATGAGCTAAATTTTAATACAATATAGATTAATAAAGACAACTTCAGGTAGAAGAGGGATGGGAACACAGCATTGTTCTATACATATAAATTAAGGCCCAATTTTTCAAAGGCAATGCACACAGGGAAATGCCCATCTGCCCACATCCTTTGCACACCCGAAATCAAGAGTTTTTGCCTTTTCCGTATCATTTCCTCAATCCATTATCATAGTTCTAACTTGGAGAGATGTTCACAGAAATGGCTTTAACTGATGTTTCTTTACTCGAAAGACCATTTTTCTCTTATTCACAAAGAAAATGTCCTTTTAATGCAGGTACAAAATTTACTTCTGCTCTGGAAGCAAGTGCTTTATTTGTTTTTCTTAAACACTATTAATCACATTTCACACCATAAATTCTGTATTTTTGCTGTTTTGGCTTGAGTTTATGACTAATTTGAACTATGGGAATTGATGATTACTTCAGGGATGACTGAGGGAATTAAATGGGTAATTCCTATCAATACCAACCAAAGTCTCATATATAAATTCTCTGTGTATCAGGACAAAAAGCATGCTAATAAGCCAAAATATCTCATAAAAAAAAAAAAAAAAGGACTGAGGCAACCCACTATGGGTCATTCTCTGAGGATGCTAGACACTCAAAAGGGTCAAATATACCAATGCTATTTCAAATCATTCCTTGGTAAGAAAAAAAAATTATCTTCTAATGTATTTAATACTTATAGGAAATCATAATGAAACAACTTGCAGTATAATAATAATAAAAAGCCCCTTATAATCTAGTTTAGTATTTAGAACCTGAATATTCCCCCAGATGCAAAATTTTATATTTGGTATTTTTGTATATCATTGTCTGCTCTCCCCCTCCCCACCCCCCTGAAATGTACCAAAAGATGTGGCACTTAATCTAACTCCTCTGTGTTCACAATAGATACAAATGACCAGGAATAGACCATATTATTTTTAAGATGTTCTAGGAGAAATGAGTTTTCTTTCTTCTATTTTAAAAAGACTTAGAAAATATTTCTTAGAGATGTTCTTTCAGAAGTAATATAACTGATTAAAAAGTATAGCTGCTCAATATATTTATCAAATTCACATTTATATATTCTTCTCATCTAGGAAATAGTATTTCTATCTGTAATTAGGTCTATAAAGATTATTTGGCATTTGAAAATTCAGATGAAGTTGTCACAATGCTGCCAGTCTCAAAGTTATTAGGTTAACACTGATAATAATTTACAACAATTAAGTTGGACACTGACTTGGTGTTTTTGATGGCATACCAAGCATCTCTGCAATTAAAAACTGCAATGTTTATTATATCCTCAGTTTAACATTTTGATTTAAATAGAATGTGATCAATTTATAAAAATGTTTTTCTTTGTGAATAAGATCTTAATTTCTCTGAACAACAATAACAAAATGATTCTTGGTATAGGATGGAATCCTTTAAAAATAAGGCTTATATTGGGCATACATAAATCATTACTGTCACAAAATCTACAAAGTATCTTGATTTTTTTAATTTTAATTTTTAAATATGTATAGATATGAAATAACTATTCTAAATTGAGAACAAATGTGTATAGGTTGGGGTTATGTAGGTAAGAATAAATTATTTCTCAAGTTATTTGCAAAATAGTATAATGGCAAGGTCAACTTGATAACTCCAAGAACCCAAAGAAAATAATACCTTTAGTTGAGGTCTGCCATTTAGCTGGACTAGAAAAGGTAACTCTGCATTATTACTTTCAGTTCTCTAGAAGCTTCTATATAATATTTTCATAGCCATTCTTAAAATTTTTCATTGGAAACCTAAATGTAGCATTCTCAACATTCATTTAAACCAAAATAAGTCAAATGTGTTAAAACATCCAAAGTTGCCCTCATGCATAAGATATAACTTACATCTTTTTATTGTTACCATGGCATTAATATACTAATCCACTTTTACTTTGTTGCATGTAAGTAATACAGAGAATATATTTTCCTCAGAATTAAAAACCACTTTAAATTTCAGGTTAAAGTCTTAATTATATTGTACCAAATTTTGATCAGAGGGAATGTAAAAATGGCAAAATGGTATCTGACCACATCCATTCAGATACTACTTGTGACTTTTTGGTTTTATAAATAAATAAGAAAATATATGTACAATTGGGAGACTCTTCCTCATGTCCTGTAAAAGCCAAGCTCAAAAATTAAAAAAAAAAACAAAAACAAAAAACAAATTTAACTTTATTTCCTTTGTAAAAAATACCGAACTCCAATGTACTTTCTATCTAAGTGACTGGAGAAGTAGCAAAATCCATAAAGTACAGATTAAATTATGTGCAAGCGATAACTTACCCATGGGTGCTTACACCAACAGATTATACATATGAAATGGGTTATTTTAAAAATATATCACTTAAAGTAACCTTTCTGAAGTAGGTCAACCAGATATCTCTAACTTACGTATTATGGCAACTCTGAGGATCCATGAGATTTAAATGATTAAGGCAGGGCAGAAACAAAATACATAATGTATAAGGAAACCCCATGCCTGTTTGGACAGATATTCAACAACTACATTTTTTGTTTAAGGTGTTCAAAGTTCTGCAAATCTTCTAAACATACAATTTACCTTGTGAAAATACTGCTCTTCTGGTATGTGGTCATTCATATACTGGAAATATTGTAAAGCAAAGATCCAAGTCCAGATTAAAACTAAAACCTGAATTATTTCATCTAATGAAGCAATGGCTAGGACAGGTACACAAAATAAATACAAGTGGGTTCCTCTGGAGTTAGTTTTGATGGTGGAGCACCCTATGACACTTGTATAGTTGTAGATCAGCAATGTACAAATGTAGTCTGGCAACAGGCACACACAGTCATAATGTAATTATGTAATATATAATGTATTTCACACAAAATATAATGTAATTCAGTCATAGGATAAGTATTAATAAAAAATATTAAAACATCAACATTCACCCATTAATCGATTATATGGAATAAATTAAACTAAGCCAGTCACATATTTCTCTTCGCTCTTAAGTCATGGTTTTATTTACGTATACACACAGTATAATACTTTCCTAACGCTCTCAAAATGCTACAAATAAAAATGAAGGCTTTGCATTACAGCTGCTGGACAAACATGTCAACACTGTCGATGTGTGAAAACACAGTTTCTTTGTTCTTTAGCATCAGTGCACAGGGTATGGCTCCAAGTGGTATGCAATTTAGGACAGAAAAAAGAGACGGTGGCTTGTGAAATAGATCCTCTGTTCATCATTGGCACAAATCAAAGAAGGAATTTTTACTGTCCTTGGTACCTTTATTGGGTCTCTCCCCTAAAGATAGATAATGTTATACATAGATGCCTTCAGGATTAAAACCAGATGAGATAGGATTCTGTAGAATACGAAGATTACTGGGGAGCTGCCGAGATGAACCAGGCCGCTTCAGGGACCCAGACTGGAATGGTGCCTCTACACAGAAAACAAAGAAAGTCATTTGGTGTATTCAGCAACTTGACATAGTCAGCAACATGAAAAACTAGAACTTTTCTTGCCCTCAAGAGCCAAAGAGCAAACTGTAAAATTGCAGTCCCCTGTGGGGCCTGGGGTAAGAGGAGAAAGCTAACTCTTCTTGACCCTCTCCATTGATAAAAACAGTTTTCAGTGATTTCAACATCTTTTTAAAAAGGTGAGCATTTTGCTTCTCTTTCTTGGTTGTTCAGATGATACACATCTTTTAAATATCAGCACAAATTAATAAGAAAGACTCTTAGGAGAGGAAGAAGGGGCGTTAGGAATGCTAATAAAACTCAACAGATGATGACTCAAACATAAGGAAAAGGTTTCTTAAAGAAGCAGTTTAAAACAAATGATACAAGATTTGGGGATTACATGCCCACGTACGTAAATCAACAATCTAGATATTATTGATTTTCTCCAGAAGCAGGAAGTATGTCAATTTTTTTTTTTAAGTGGCCCAAGCTTTGAACAGTAGGCTAATATTTTAACTGAATACAAGTAGTTTCTTCAAAGTTAACCTGTGAGAATAAAGTAAAGCGAACAGATTTCTCAACACCTTACCCCTTTCTATGTCTGCATGTGAGGCCTCTACTTCAATGGGCTCCGCTGGCAAAACGGTAACTTTTGTCCCTGTCTGTTGGATAAACTGCTGGAGATTGACTTGCCGCAGCTCTTTAGTCAACTGCTCCAGTTCTTGTTCTTTGTCCTAGATGGGAGTTAAAATTTGTCTTTTTATTTGAAGATTCACTCTTGGCCAGCTAAAGACATCCCGGTGATAGTCCATCTGCTACAGGGGCTGGATGTGCGATATGCGCTTTCCCAAGAACGCCTTTAACAAACCTGGTTAATGTTGATACAATGGGCTAAAAAAAGAGATCATTTTTGCTCTGGGGAACAGGCCAAAAAATAAGCAAATAAAGGACAACAGCTTCTTCAGTCCATCCTCTTAAATGTGATGCCTTCCTCTGTTAGGAATACACTATGCACCTGATGAAATAAATCTATGTCTCTATAAACTTTTATCAGTAAAATACTAGTTTCCAGGTGCATCTGGGTGGCTCAGTCGTTAAGCGTCTACCTTCGGCTCAGGTCATGATCCCAGGATCCTGGGATCGAGCCCCACATCGGGCTCCTTGCTCAGCGGGAAGCCTGCTTCTCCCTCTCCCACTCCCCCTGCTTGTGTTCCCTCTCTCGCTGTCTCTCTCTCTGTCAAAAAATAAATAAAATCTTAAAAAAAAAAAAAATACTAGTTTCCATCCATCCCAGTGTTTACAGCAATCTTGCTATAAGCTATTCACAATTAAATTTCCCTCATGACTTCATAACTGACTGCAAAATCAATAGTCATTTGGTCCATGAGATTCAGAGAAGTTCTTGTTTTTGGTAAGCTGTTTTCATGGGATTCATTATTGAGCTATATATTAGAGCATGAGGAAAGCAAGATTCCCACAAGATTTTCACTTTGGGGTTCTTAAGTCCTTGGCAAAGACAAGTCTGAGAACTGAAGATCCTTAAAGAAAGGAGATCAAGTTCGGATAGCTAGAAAGCTCAAAAAGCAAGGAGAGGAATTCCATGATTTGAATGGATGTTCTTTCTCTCCCTTACTGCACTACAGGAAAAAGTGGCAAGGCCTCACCCAGGCTGAGTGTGCCTGAAGACTCGCAGTGGTAGGAAGAGATACCAGAAATGAGTGGTTGTTTCCACCAGAAATGAGTGGTTGTTTCCTCCACTTACTATTCGTGTAGCGGGCACTTGGAGATATGTTAGTTTGATTATGAGATCCTTTCCAAAGGGTAGGGAGATTTACTGGCAATGACTGTCATAAATTAGCGTTTACTGTAAACAATATCAAAGGCCACACAACTTCCAACTGTATCCTTTTTAAGGGTCAAAATGAATCCAAATAGCATAATACTGACAAATCAGAGGTTAACAACCTTGTACTGCATGAGAAATTCTTGATTTTCAAAATTTTGGTGGTAGTTTTACCTCTCGACTGTAGTTTGTGGCAGAGAATGGAAATCACATAAGTGATTCTTGAAACCTCAGCTTTCTCTGCTTGTAAAACTGTTCATATTCTAAAGTAGCTCTGCTCAAACCTCCATGTGCACCAGAACTATCTGGAGATCCTATTACAGTAGAGATTCTGAATTTTTTTTTTTTTAAAGATTTTATTTATTTATTTGAGAGAGAGAATGAGAGAGAGAGAGCACATGAGAGGGGGGAGGGTCAGGGGGAGAAGCAGACCCCCTGCTGAGCAAGGAGCCCGATACGGGACTCGATCCCGGGACTCCAGGATCATGACCTGAGCCGAAGGCAGCCGCTTAACCAACTGAGCCACCCAGGCGCCCGAGATTCTGAATTTTTAACAAGTGTGCCCTGAACTACATGGATCACTCTTTGAATAGCAAGTCACCAACCAGCACTGACCAATACAGCGACCACTATCGAGCACTTGAAATGTGGCCAAATGTAACCAAACCCAGAAATTTACATTTATTTAATATTTTAAAATTTATTTAATATTAATATTTAACACTTTAAATATTATTTACATTTAGTATATTAAAATATTATTTCTATTTAATACCTCTTTGCAACTCCCCTAACATCAGCACATTTTCTTCTCGAGAATGGGTATCCGAGAAATGTAAGTTGAGTGATCAGGATCTCATGGCAAAATATAAAAGTTCTTGTATGGGAACCCGAGAGGGGAAAATCACAGAGGAACCTTTGTGCCCCTCTCCTCAGGAAAGCAAAGGAAAGTAAGTAATGTGGAGAAAAGAAGGGGACTATTTACATCTCAGGAAAAGATGGGGTGAGCAACAGTGGAGAAGTAACCGACAACTAGCCACACAATCCTTGGTAGACCAATCTACAGTAATCTCTTTTGGCTTTGATTTCCTTCTCTCTAAAGGAGAGAAGGTCAGATTCACTATCTCATCATTAGTGTCCATTCCAGCTCTGAGATTCTATTCTCTGTATCCAATAATGTTCCAACTGCCACAGTAAGACACCTCTTTCTGTGGAGCAAGGATCAGTGAGGCTTTAGCTCTCATCTTTGTTTTGGTCTCACATCTTAGCTTTGTCATAAGTCACAGAAATTCTAAGAAACTTATAAACCAAGGTAGGTTTCTAACTTTAAATATAAGAGAAAATGGACAGTCATTAAAGAAAATGCCAAGAATATATTAATTCTTTTAAACAGATGAAACATTTCTTTTTATAGAGATGTTCTTACCTGTAATCGTTTGGTGGCTTGTCCAAGAGATCTTTCTACAGCTTTAATGCCATTTTCCAGCCTCACACTCTGTTGGCCTTGAATGTCAATTTCTCCTTTGACCTTACCAATCTTTCCTTTAACCTCTTCTTCATTGACTTGTGCCTCCTGAACTTCCCGTTGTAATTTTTCTGCTTCAAGACCGCTTTCCATAGTCTGGATCTGAGCCAAATAGTCCTTTAATTTGCTCTCGCATTCTGTTATTTTCTGTCTTATTTCTTGAAGTTGATCCTTCAGCTGTTTTTCATTTTCCTGTTCAATCTGCAATTCATTTTCCCAAAATTCTTCCTCTTCAATTTCGACATCATTTCTTTTGATCTTTTGCTCCAGGCGGACAATTTCCTCTTCAAGGTTAGAATTATATTTTTGCTCCCAAAATTGTATTTCTATTTCATTTGATTCTAGCTCTTTCTCAATGGACTGAAGCTTCTCTGTCTGCAACCGGATCAGCTTCTTCAATTCATCTGCTGTTGTTTTGCAGTTATTCAGCACCTTTTGCTTAAATTCAGTTTCTTTACCCTTTCCAAAAATGTCCATTAATCCTTTGGCACCTCCTGTAAATGTTAATGATTTCCTTTTAGGTTCTCTCCTTTTGATTGATTTGTCAATCTGAGGCCTCAGTTTAGCCAGGGGGGGCAAACTCTGCCTATATAAAGTTCTCTCCGGAATTCGAGCCACACTGTCTGAAGTGGGTCGCTCACTAAGAGATGGCCCCGTTCGACGTAAAATTAGCTGTACATCACTAGCATACTGCCCCCATTTGTTTAAGGATATGATAGGATTTTCATGAGGTGCTAAATGTCTTTCAGTATCTCTCCATTTTTCTATAAGAGTGTACCTTCCGGTTCGACCTAGATAAAAAAGATAAGAATAAACTGTTAAAGTGGAATATGCAATAGCTAAAATAATGCAACAGAGGACACTATTTGATAACTGTGTCATCTTGATTAGCATCCAAGTCCAGTCCATACTACCTTTAAAACTTCTCCTGAAGAAAAAAACACCAAAACCAAAACCAAACCAAACCAAACAAATTCTCTTGAAGGTATGTTAACAGCATAAAATTATGGGATGTGAATTACACATACCCTTCTGACTTGCTTAGAAATTCAACTATATACTTTAAACCTCAGTGAGACTCTTACATTCTTATCAAATGCCTGAATGCCTAGACTTTCTTGTTTGGGGCAAGACCTCCAGCTGAAACAAAGGACGACACCAGAATGCCCCACTGAAGTCATGAGGGCCTGGTCCCAGAGCTGGGTAGAACTTCAAAACTTGAATAAATTTCCACTTTGTGACTCCCTCTGCTTTCTCTGCACATTGGAACGTGAGAAGGTTGGAGGCCCCATTTGCCTCCTGAAGGGAGGTATGGAGCCAGTGGACAACACATTACTCAGCTCACAGGGGGTTGTACAGGTCTTTCCTCTGTCTCTGCATGACGGTTTGGCCAACTCATAGCTCACACTGCTGCTATCACACCCTTGGCAAAAAAAAAAAAAAAAAATCACCTCAGTGAAAATGACCCTTCAAAATAATTTTGTATAAAAATAGGGGTCTGAAGAAAAGTCTTCTACAGTTTTGGTAGTTGTAACTTCAAAGATTCTTGTTAAAAAAAATTTAAAAGGCAAAAATATTAAAAAACAAAACCAATAAAATCATATTTAAGTAAAATTATACTGAACCTAACTGGTAATTACAGAAGATCAAGCTTCAGAAGACAGTATAGTATCATTTACTTGAACACACTTCCTAAATACTTCCATTTAAGGTGGGTGGGTCAGATTGATTTTATTTTGTTAGAAGTGTCCCCTGGACACCTGAAACTAATATAAATGTTACATGTCAATTATATCTCAATAAAAAAGTATCCGTTACTACTTAACATTATTACAAGGAAGAAAATACTGATCCTGTTGTCTTGCAATTATAACACTGGTATATACAGCTATTGATTTATCCTGTTTTTTAATTTCATGAGCTTCTGAACCAAGAGCAGTTATTTTCTCAGTTATTATGGAGGTCAATAAATGGAGGTCTGGATACGTATGTATGTGAATATCCATGTATGCAATTCAGAAGTAGTACATTAAGAGTGATATTGCTCTAAACATGCATATTTTCTCCTATGGAAACTGAATCTTGGGTACAGCAGAAAAGTTGCAGCTCGCAAGGCAAACAGAGTGGAGTTTTAATCCCGAGTTTTAATTACCTACTGGATAAATAGCGTACACCTCACAGGTTCTGAGAGTCAGAGTCAGGCATAATAAGCACCCACCACATCGCCTGGCCCAGGGCAGGTGTTCAATCAATACAGGTAGCCATTACTAATTTAAAACCCTGTTATTCACGTAACAAAAGGGCTGACCAGAGACCTCTTAAAAATGACGTGACATGACAATAAGCTGGCTTAAAAAAAATCCTTAAACAACTTTTAGCAACTCCCAACAACATAAAGCTGGAAAGAGCAAAGGCTCTGCAGTCGGAAGGCCTGTGTTCAGGTTTGGCTCTGCCAGCTATTTAAATGATTTGCGCAATTTATTAAATTTCTTTTGGCTTCAGTTTCCTCATCTATAGGGTGAGAATAATATTTTCTTACTGACAATGTTGTTGCAAGAGTCAAGTGAGATGTAAAATATAAAACTGTTTTCTAAAATTGAGCAGTTCTATACAAATGTTAGTTGTTACTATTGCCAAAATATCTGGGTAAACGAGGGGAATGAAGAAGAAACCCTTAATACAGTGGATTGGCTTCTGGGAATAAAACATGTTTCTAGTGATTTTCAGGTTAAAAATTACTGTAATTACTCCAAGAAAAACCACATGATAAATCTGCAAGGTTAAAACTGTTCCATGTGTACACACTGCTTCAAAGATCACAGCACTTTGTGTTCTTGGCTTTGCTGCCTATCAACTACTTTTAGAATCTCACTCTTCTCTGGAGCTCTGTGTCCTCATCAGTAATGTGAGGGGTTAGAATAGATCAGCAGAGCCCTCTCTAATTGTCTACCAGGCCAGTGAAGCATCTTGAAAAAGAAAATGGAATCATTACATTAGCCAAGTTATATTAAGAATTTTAAAGACCCTAATTTAGAGCCATAATTAGGATTTTTTTCCCAATGCTTAATGGTACCGCTGCCCTATGAGAATGTCTTACTAGAAGATTATTTAGAATTGCTTTCACTGCCAGTTTTCCCTTTTTGTTAAATAACACATATTTATAAATGTGCAATTAGGCAAAAAGAAAAAAAATCCTATCCAGCAATATAAAAAAGCTTTTATAAAAACTAATGATGTACTGTATGGTGACTAACATAATAAAATAAAATTAAAAAAAAGGTAAACGAATTAATAGCTTTGATTTTTTTTTAAGATTTTATTTATTTTTTTGACAGAGAGAGACACAGCAAGAGAGGGAACACAAGCAGGGGGAATGGGAGAGGGAGAAGCAGGCTTCCTGCTGAGCAGGGAGCCCGATGCGGGGCTCGATCCCAGGACCCTGGGATCATGACCTGAGCCAAAGGCAGACGCGTGATGACTGAGCCACCCAGGCGCCCCTAGCTTTGATTTTATTATAAAAGTTAGGTTTTAGATAGGTTATGTAAAAGTTAAATCCCATAATCATTATTTTTAATACTATCCTTGGTAAGGCCCTAAAGATCCTATTTCATTTGGAAGGATTCAAATTCTTCTTGCAAAACTCCTTTCAATGTATTTTACTAAATGGATACATTTAGTTGTACCTTGCACACTATCATGATGTACCCCTAAACCTAATAAAAAGGAATATCTATCTACCTACCTGCCTACCTACCTACCTACAGCATTTGTAGTTTAGGCTGTTTTGGCTATCTAGAAATGCATGTCACAATAAGTAATGGTAAATAAATAAAATACTGACTATACTTTTGAACAGTTGAAGCAATTGAGTGTAATCCCAAGGATCATTAACTTCATATAATAAGGAAAATCACATAAAGAGACTTTAATGCATTGGTGGAATCTCATTGGATGACTGACATGAATTAAAAGGAAATAGGATAACAGATTACTCTCCCTTAATTTAAAGCAGAATAGTATGTATAACTGTGGAGTAATATGAAGTTTTTGAAAATATACACCCAAACTCAAATATTCAAATATGGGTCACCCAAAAACATTATGCCCTTATTTCAATCACTCTTTCAATGGTGCAACCATTTTTTTTTTTTTTTTTTTTTTACAATTTTAGGAAATTTCTTAGAGCCAAAGAACAAAATCATGATTTAAAAGTCACATCTCAGAGCTACCATATGACCCAGCAATTGCATGACTGGGTATTTACCCTAAAGATACAAATGTAGGGATCTGAAGGGGTACATGCACCTC